GAGGAGAGATGAGGAGAGGGGAAGGGAGAGTAGGGGAGAAGGGGAAAGGAGAGGAGGGGAGAAGGGGGGGAGAGGGGAGGGAGGAAGGGAGGAGAGATGAGGGAGACGGGAATTGAGAGGAGGGGAGGGGAAGGGAGGGAGGGAAAAGCTCTTTTGTCAGGGGCTCAAGAGGGCAGAATAATCATTTATTGAATTAAGGGCTTGTTAATCTACTATCTGATGTTATTTTGTTTGTGTTTGTTGTAATGTTCGTTGTTGCATGTACATCGTGTGATCTTTATATTAATTGTGGTTAATGGACGATTATATACGAGAGGGAGAGCAGAGGGAGAGGTAGAGGGAGACGGGAGAGAGGGAGAGGGAGAGGGAGAGGGAGAGGGGAGAGTGAGAGGGAGGGAGAGAGGGAGGGAGAGAGGCGAGGAGAGAGGGAGGAGAGAGGGAGAGAGAGGGAGGGAGAGAGGGGAGAAAAGAGAGGAGGAGAGAGGAGCGAGAGGGAGGGAGAGAGGGAGGGAGGAGAGGGAGAGAGACGAGAGGGAGACGGAGGGAGAGAGAGAGGGAGAGATGAGAGGGAGAGAGAGAGAGAGAGAGAGAGAGAGAGAGGGAGGGAGAGAGAGGGAGAGAGAGAGGGATCGAGAGGGAGAGAGAGAGAAGGAGAGAGAGAGAGCGAGAGAGAGAGAGGAGAGAGAGAGAGAGAGGGAGAGAGAGAGGGAGAGAGAGAGGGAAGAGAGAGGGAGAGAGAGAGAGGAGAGAGGACGAGAGGGAGAGAGAGGGAGGAGGGAGGGAGAGGGGGGAGAGGGAGAGAGTTGGCGCGCGTGTGCGTGCTTGAGTGCTGCGTGCGGTGCGTGACTATGTGTGTATGTTTCTCCCCAATTCCCTCCTTTCCTCCTTTCCCTTCCCCTTACTTTCCTCCCTTCCCTTCCCTTCCCTTCCCTTCCTTTCCCTTCCCTTCCACCCCCCTCCTTCTCCCCTCCCTTCCCTCCTTTCCCCTCGGTTTAGGCAGCCCCTGATAAGCAGCTTGAGGTAACACCATTAAGCCCTATCGACAGAGGCGCAGCGAGGCTTATCGGGCCCCGTGGTTCCGCTGCTCCTGCTGGCGCTGCGTCCCCGGCCCTATTGTCTTTCTTCTTCTCCCCCTCTCCTCCTCCTCTTCCTCCTTCTCCTTCCCCCTCCTTCTCCTTCCTCCTCCTCTTCTTCTTCTCCTTCCTCCTCCTCCTTCTCCTCCTCCTCCTCTCCTCCTCTCTTCTCCTCCTCTTCCTTCCTCCTCATTTCCCCTCCTCCTCCTTCTCTTCTTTCCCCCTCCTCTTCCTCTCATTCTCCCCTCCTCCTCCCTCCTCCCCTTCTGTGATTGTAAGCTCTTTCGTATTATTTTTTCTTTCGCTCCCCTTTCTTTTTTTTCTTTTCTTTTCCTTCCTCGCTTCTGATTTCTTCTCGGATAATCTTCCGCCCCCTCTTTTCCGTTTCTGTCTTCTTTCTTTCTTCCCCCTTTCTCCTTCTTTCCCTCTCTCCTATCCTCTCTTCTTCTTACTTCTCTCCTATCCCCTGCTTCATCCTCTATTCCTCTATCCTTCTTCCTTCCCTCCTCACCCCTTCTTCCTCCCCCTCTCCTCTTCTTCCCCCTTCTCTCCTCCTTCGTTGCTCCTCTCCCCTCCTTTGTTGCTCTCTCCCCCACCTTCTTTCCCCTCCATCTATCCCTCCACCCTCCCTCCTCCCCTCCTTCCCCACGCCCCTCATCCTTCCATAATGCTTTCTCACATTCTCAATCTGTCCTCTCCGATTGATTATTCCCCCTCTCTCCTTTCTTCTCTCTCCTCTTGTCCTCCTCCCTTTCGTCTCTACTTCTTTTATTCTCCCCCTCGAGGAGACGCGATCATTTTGCACACGTGGTTGGGTTGGTCTCTTGTGCGGGCATGCTCGGGGTTCTGTGCTGCGTGTTTTGTGGTGTGGTGTGTTGTGTTGTTGGGGTTGTGTTGTGTGTGTGGTGTGTTCTGTTTTTTTTGTGTTTGTGTTGTTTGTATTTTTGTTGAGTGTGTTGTGTGGTGTGTGTGTGCGGTGTTGTGTTGTTTTTGTGTTGTCGTGTGGCGTGTGTGTTGTGCTCTGTGTGTGTGTGTGTGGTGTGTGTGTGTGTGTGTGTGTGTGTGTGTGTGTGTGTGTGTGTGTGTGTGTGTGTGTGTGTGTGTGTGTGTGTGTGTGTGTTGTGTTCTGTGTTCTGTGTTTCTGTGTTCTGTGTTCTGTGTTCTGTGTTCTGTGTTCTGTGTTCTGTGTTCTGTGTTCTGTGTGTAAGTGTGAGTGTGAGTGTGTGAGAGTGCTTTTGTTCACGTGTTCGAATGTGGCATTGTCATCATATCAGTGTGTGTTTGGGGAGGGAGGTAGTGGTGGGTATTGATATACATTTGCATGTGCGTGTGTATTATTATTGTTATTTTTACGTATTGTGTTCCTGTAAATGTCTGTTCCTCTTTATCCTCTATTGAAATGAATTATATTTTTGTTTAAATACTACACAATTCCGTGTATATTTAGCGTGAATAATTTTCATCGGGAAGAAAAGATACGAAGAAATGAATCGAAAACATCAGTCAGGTGGAAACGAATCAGAGAAAAAAATAAAGCGAAGCCCAGCGTATAGAAAACGTAGACCAGGGCTAACTTTCCCATTCCCGCGAGCGAGCTAAAAACAACAGCCGGTTTAAAGCGACTCGGGTCTTGTACACAGCTGCCATTACCAACACCAACATCAGTCACTCGCTAGACTAAACAAACCCCGCAGGAACCGTGGTAAGTGGTAAACTCGAAGGCCGAAAAGTGATTAAGAGAGCCGCGAAGGGGTCCTGGGGCTAATCACGGACGGAAGGGATTGGGGCGGGAAAGGGGGATTCGTGGGATTGGGAAATGGGGTTTGGATCGAGGCTCGCGATTGCTTGGAAAGGAAAAGAAGAAAAGTGAGATGAGGGCAGGTCGACCCCCAGCTGTATTTGTGGAAGAATGGGGTAGATTTTTTTTTTGTTCGCGTGATTGTGGTTTTTGTTTTGTTCTAGACAAGCCTTTTTATTTGTTTGAATTTGTGATTTGATTATATATATATGTGTGAACACAAGCACAAACACAGTAACGTGTAAGCAAAAATGAAAAGGAAAAACAGCCATTCTCGTTGTGGCTTTTTTCATTTTATTTTTTTATTTATTTATTCAATTATTTATTATTATATTATTTTGTATTTTGATTTTTTAATCGAAGCTGCTATGGTACGCACATACATTCGTGCGGACGTTGAACGGTCTTGTGAATTTATTATCACGTGCGATTCTGAATGTCTACTATAAGAAGGCGAGGACGTAGGTGAAGTTATAAAGGGATTCATTTTTCTTTCTGATTGGCTCCCGTAAACACCAAAAATTAAGGATCAAATGTAAAAAGTGGCTTTGTATCATATGTTTTATTAGGAACACTGGATGTATAGAAGCTAGGAATGATTTATCCAGTAATAGGGAAGAGGTTGGTTACTCTATCAGCTGATTTGTAACGCGAATGTTCATGTCGTTTGTGCTATCAGCTGATTTGAATGTTCATGGCGTTTCTATTTTGCGTGTTCTGCAGTGTTCACGGTCCCCTGCTTTTGTACTTTCAAATCCCTAAGCATATCTTGAGAAATGCAAATGTATTCCTTGCAACCCTTGTTATAGAAGTAGATTTGCCGGTATATCCAAGGGGTGTTTTAGCATTATTTTTGACAAAGAAGACACTGAATAAACGTATTCATACTGATTCCGCACAGGGTATATGTAGTATTACGCTGACCTGTTCAGAGAGAAGCTCAATGGCTAGAAGGAACCGCTATCACGCCGTTAGACATACAATTATCAATTTACTCGTCGCAGCAGTAATCCCCAGGGGTAAGATTGCACCCACCCTCCACCTGTGGACGCCACCCCCTCCCCTCGTGGACGACCCCCCCCCCCTCTCATGGACGACCCCTTCCCCCCGAGGACGCCACCCCCTTCCCCTTTTGTCGCCCCCTTCTCCCCATGAGTGCCCCTAACCCCCCGTGGACTTGCTCCCTCCTTAGTGAACACCCCCCTCCCCCAGTGGACGCCACCCCCTCCCCGCGGACGCCACCCCACCCCCCCGTGGACACACCCCCTCCCCCAGTGGACGCCCACCCCCTCCCCCCGGACGCCACCCCCTCCCCCCGGGTGATTCCTAAATCCACGACGTGAATGACACCGAGGGATTTGTTTGTTGTGACAGGAGATGATTACACCTTTGGCACTAGAGCTGACACCGTGCCACAGCATGTCTTTTATCATCTTGTGTACATAGATTTGCGGAACATACGTTGTATATTTGTGTGTGTATGTGTATATGTATGTATCTATCTATCTGTGTATGTATGTATCTATCCTATCTATCTATCTATCTATCTATCTATCTCTTTGTTCATCTATCTATCTATCTATCTATCTATGTACTTGCACACACGCATTCGTGTATCAATATATGTATCTATTTTTATTTGTGATTACATCTGTAGTAACTATATTATATTTATATATATGTAGTTGTAACTATATTATGCGTCTGTCTATTTATCCATATGTGTACCTAGATTTCTATCAGTCTGTCTGTGTATGTATGTATATATTTATTAATGTGTATTTATGTATAAATGTTTATGTATGTGTTTGTGTGTACAGAATGTATGCACAATATGAATGTGTATATGTATGTATGCATGTATGTATGTATGGAAGTGCGCCGAAACGTACACGCGCATAGAATTTTCCTGACCAATTTGGAAATGTTAATTCACTTTAAAAGATCTATATTTGTACAGCGTTTTACTCAAAGAAAGAAATGACGTTTGGCAGGTGGCGCACTAACGAACGTGTACGTACGTGGCGCCGTCTTAATAAGCTTCCCTTGGGGCGCGGGGGACGACCAGCGTTTAGGGCAAGAGGGTTTTTACTCGCGTCCTGCCTAATCTCTTGTTTTTTCCTGTCTTGATCCCGGTGAGGTCACGGCTCAGGGGTGGGCAGGGCGGAGGTGCCGGGGCGCGTGTGTCGCCGCTTAGGATTACTTCGCCGCCGGTGCCAGGAATTAGAGCGGCGACGGAGGGGGTGCCAGCCGGAGGTCAGTTCGTGCCAGGCTGGCACCAAGAGCAGATTGGAACCGAGTGCGGCCAGAATTTCGTGGGGATATTGGGGTTGGTGTGGTTGGTGCGGGTCCTTATCTCGCCCGTTTGGTGGTGTATATTGTGTCTTATATGCAGCACGTGTTGTGTGCAAGCAAGTGATTGGGTGCGTGGCTCCGAAGCGCATGAGCACAGACAAAGCTCTAGATGGGCTCGAGTGTGACTCACCAATCTTCGGTGGTTGATAGAAAGGCATTACCTAGCGGCGCCCGAGTGAGCCCTAGCTAGTTCGAGAGTGCGAGTCCTAGGGTGCAGGTGTTGGCTGGCAGAGGCAGTGACAGAGCACCTGGCGACGGCCACCCATCTGGCGGTGACGTCGTGCCAGCTACGGTGCCCTAGCGTGCCAGGGAGGTGCTGCCCGTAGCCACAGCCGCGGAGGGGCCTCGGAAACAGGACGCCCCGGCCCGGATAACCCTCGCACGCCCCTCCGCCTCCGCAGCACCTGGAGCCTCCCACCGGCGGCCCTCTTACAGGTGTCATGTGACTCGGCGGTGTTGTCGTCGCGCGGGTCGCCAGGTACGCAGTGGGGGCGAGGGACGGAATTGACAAGGAGCGACCGCCGCTACTTAGGCATGAGCTACGCGGTGGGCAAGAGGCGCGCGGGCGCCAGCAGCGTAGGGCCGGAGCAGCTCAGGCGAGGCGACGAGGCGACGTGGCCCTCGGCAGAGAGTGCTGCCCGCAGGCCTCAGACTGGGGCCCCGGAGCAGCACGCGGGGGCGGCGTCGCCCCTCCGAGACGCCACGCCGCGCCGCAACTGCCAAGAAATGGAGTCGGAGGGAGAAATTCCTTTCATAGACGATGATGACGATGGTGGCGATGGCGATGCTTGTGATGGTGGCGGGGGCAGGGATAAGGAACAGGGGGTGGACGGGACGCGTGATGGGAACGCAGGGGAAGTGAGCATCACCCTCCGGAACAAAGTGACGAGCAGCTCGAAGCAGAAGCGGAGGGCCGAGTTCATCCTCTCCGCCCCGCCCAGCCCTTCGTCGCCCCTCCTGTGCCCGTTCTCCTTCTCGCCCTCCGCCGCCACGCCAGCCGCCGCCCCCCCTCGCGCCTGCACTTCGCCAGCCCAGATGTGCAGCGCCCCCGCCGTCCCCGCCGCGTCGGCCTCGTCCACCAGCAACTCCGCCTCCACGCCCGCCTCCTCCTCCATCGCCGGCAGGTTGGTGTCTGCCAGAGCCAAGGCGGAGGCCAAGGAGCTGGTCATCTTCAGGAGGAAGCGAGGAAGGCGGGCGAAGGACAGCAAGAACGCTAACAGGTGCGGGTGGGTGGCCCAGGACGCGGCCATTGAAGAGGAGGCGAAGGGGGCGGCGTCGATTGAGGAGGAAGAGGAAACGGACTCGCACGGAGAACCAGCGACCAGCTCAACAAACACCGCAAGCAGCACAGGCAGTACCAAAAGTACCACGAGCACCGAAGGAACCGTGGGCATTGCGAGTACCACGAGTAGCGGAGGTACCACGGGCGTTCCAAGTACCACGAGCCCGAGTAACGAAAGTACAACGAACGCCGCAAGTACCTCAAGTGCCACCTCGAACGGCACTGTTCCTTACGCCGAAGAAGACGATATTATTATCAGTCTCATCCGAAAAATACTGACGGAGTCGACCGAAGCGGAGACGAGAGTGAGTGAGTGAGTGAGTGAGTGAGTGAGTGAGTGAGTGAGTGAGTGAGTGAGAGTGAGTGTGAGTGAGTGAGTGAGTGAGTGAAAGTGGAGTGAATGAGTGCATGAGTGGGTGAGTGCTGAATAGTGAGAATGGGAGGGTGTGTGAGTGTGGTGCTTGTGCGTTTGTGTTATGTATGTATGTGTATATATATATTGAAATGTATGCATGCGTGTGTGTGTGTGTATATATATATTGAAATATGTGTGTGTGTGTGTGTGTGTGTGTGTGTGTGTGTGTGTGTGTGTGTGTGTGTGTGTGTGTGTGTGTGTGTGTGTGTGTGTGTGTGTTGTGTGTGTGTGTGTGTATTACGTGGGAGAGAACGTGTGTGTAATTGAGTAGGGGAAAGTGTGTGTGTGTTTGAGGGCATGTGTGTGCATGTATTAGCGCGTGCGTAGGCCTATGCGTATGGGTGCGTGTGTGAGCATACATTAACCACACACACACCTGTGTTCTTGCGCATATATATCAGGAAAAAAATGTATGTCTGTGTGCGTTTCACAAGCGAGTGTATCCAAGAGTGTTTTACATATTGCGCACAGACCGTCACACGCACACATTACGGGGAATCCTTTCCTGCCCCGAGAGATAACTGGAGGTTTCTACGGGTGTCAGCGTTCAGTATGGAAGAGCGAGGCCGGTTGCGAA